TAATTTTTAAAGGACAAACTCATTTTTTCGAATGAAATGCTTAACAAATCCCCAATATGAGCTTCTGCTTTTATGTCGGGGTTTCTCTTTGTTTCTTGTTCGCTGCTTTTACACATGTGCTACAGTGGCCCTCCATCCTGCTCTGCCAAGCTCACTTCACTTGGTCTCTCAAGGCTGATTGTTTTCTAATTGGTGGAGTGCCAGAGGTCGTGGTTGTTATGGTAACCTGTGAGGGGTACTTGGACGGGTTGGCTGGTGGTGGTTGGGCGACGGGGTGGGGTGGTGGTGAGGAGGTTGCTCAGGAAAATTGAGGGCTGCTCTCATCCAAGGCTTAGCAGGTCACTTCAGAAAATAGACTGGATAAGTGTTTGTACATTTACTCCTGATGAAAACTCATTTCCATGTAAGAAGATGTTTTAATCTGTCTATGTTTCTCTTATGATGTGTTTTAAAACCAGGGTTAGATCTAGGCTGAAATTGGGTTTACTTATGCCTTCAACGGTCAAATCTAAAAGCAGACTGTCTCTTTATGAACTTTAATATGATAAAAAGCAAAACATTAACCTTTGTTTTCAACCAGTGGAAATAAAACACTTTAATTCATTTGCACCTTAACAGAAGTTGTCAAATTTTAAATATGATTATTTAAAAAATGAGTTCATATAATGGGTGATTGGAATTGTAAACCATCTAAAACAATCAAAAAATAAATAAATAAAATAGTAAAACTGTGGACACAAGGGATATAATATGAAGAGGAAAAAAATAGAAAGTTGGATTAGGCGGCAATGCATAATGGATGCATGGGTACATAAACCCTGTATGAACTTTAAGTATTGTATTTTCTTTGTGTGGATCTATCAATGCCCACTGTAAACTCTGTAGTCCAAATAGAATGCCAATTGAGAATAACACAAAATATTATACCAGTATTTAAGTTCTCCCACCTGAGTACTTTTAGACCCTTTTTAAGTAAAGGTAGATACATTACCTACAGATTTATAGCAGGTATATCCTTATAAGTCCTCTGTAGTGCAATAGAAAAGTACCATCATCTTTATATCGATGCGCATGATGTTAATATTGAAAAAAAGTGCCTATACTGCATAAAAGATAATTGCTTATCATGCCTGCCCTCCCTGCCAAAAATACAATTTCTCAATGCTTGTCTGTAAATGGTTTGGAGCGCAGAGGAGTTTTAAGAGATGTTAACTTTGAAACACCAGCTGTAGTATGAGTCAGATTTTTAAGGCATGCTTGAGGGGGGGAAATATTAAAAGAAATGGTCTCTGCTGTTCCCTAATAAAATCTGATTCATTTATTTGATCCAAAAGCAGGAAGATATAAACACTGTTTAGTTTTTGGGGTTTTTTGCAATGAAACATTCATTTGGAACATTCCTCAAATTTATCACATATTTCATGTTTACATTATACCATAAAGCTCTATTTAAAACCTCGATAAACCAGAGAATGAATGGATGGATGGATGGATGGATGGATGGATGGATGGATGGATGGATGGATGGATGGATGGATGGATGGATGGATGGATGGATGGATTTCTGTTCTGACTCTTGAAGGAGGCAGTCGCATTTTCCTGCTGCTCTGCAACTCCCTGCTCTGTCCCTGCTTTGTCATGTCTTGTCTTTCTTAGCCCTCTCTTCATATGCCCAGAATTCAAAATATGGTCAGCTGGTCTCTCAATGCAATTGATGGATACTTGATGTATCTACAATTACAGAGGAGGTCAGCAAGAGAAGACTTGAAGGCTGAAGGAACATTCCTGTGCAACACATATACACTCACCGGCCACTTTATTAGGTACCACATGCTAGTAACAGGTTGAACCCCCTTTTGCCTTCAGAACTGCCTCAATTCTTCGTGGCATAGATTCAACAAGATGCTGGAAGCATTCCTCAGGGAGTTTGGTCCATATTGACATGATGGCATCACACAGTTGCCGCAGATTTGTCGGCTGCAAATTGTAGCCTCAGTTTCCTGTTCTTAGCTCAAAGGAGTGGCACCCGGTTTCGTCTTCTGCTGCTGTAGCCCATCTGCCTCAAAGTTCGACGTACTGTGCGTTCAGAGATGCTCTTCTGCCCACCTTGGTTGTAACGGGTGGTTATTTGAGTCACTGTTGCCCTTCTATCAGCTCGAACCAGTCTGGCCATTCTCCTCTGACCTCTGGCATCAACAAGGCATTTCCGCCCACAGAACTGCCGCTCACTGGATGTTTTTTCTTTTTAGGACCATTCTCTGTAAACCCTAGAGATGGTTGTACGTGAAAATCCCAGTAGATCAGTAGTTTCTGAAATACTCAGACCAGCCCTTCTGGCACCAACAATCATGCCACGTTCAAAGTCACTCAAATCACCTTTCTTCCCCCTACTGATGCTCGCTTTGAACTGCAGGAGATTGTCTTGACCATGTCTACATGCCTAAATGCACTGAGTTGCCGCCATGTGATTGGCTGCTTAGAAATTAAGTGTTAACGAGCAGTTGGACAGGTGTACCTAATAAAGTGGCCGGTGAGTGTATATTATATATAAATGCAGTACTATAGGGAAACGCATCACGTGGGCCCTTGGCATAAAAATGTGCCAACGGCGGCATTCTGTGGCATGCATGGCCTCAGTAAATTGTTCCCCCTGCCAGCACCCCCCTCTGGATCTTTAAAGATCCAGAACTTACTAGTCATGGCTGTGTAGGATATCTGATATAAAGCAGAATACACAGACAATCTAACATATTTAAATAAGTGGCTATGATAACAGGAATATTAAACAGACATTAATTTAATTGTTTATCCAGGTTAACTGACCATTTATAAGCAGCTTTACACTGTTTATAATTCTGACGATTTTTTCTGTGTTCCCTATCGTTCTTATCATGTCTTGCCATATTCAATCCTTTATCACTTCCATTCAGATCTATACATACGATCTAGGTTTCTTGGTTTAAGTATTTGTATCATCTGCCTCACTTGGCAGTTGCTATTGTATCCAATCTGCCTGCATTTGGGTCGAATGCCAATATAATATCATGGTATATCAGCCCGTAGCAAAAACGATTAACTAGGAACTGAAAGCTGAAATCAACGACGCCCCCTCCACAGCTGTATACAAAGCAATATGAAGTTGAAGAGAAGTGTTCAGTCATTTGACATACAGCTTGTAATTTGTTAGTAACTATTTTGTGAGCATTTTAAAGACCCTGAAGTTGTGGTTTTACAGTAGATTTAGTTAAGACAGACATTTTACTCCATGTCATTTAAAATATCCAATAAACCGTTTCATGGGAGCTGAAAGCAACACCTTCCGAAAATGCAATAAATATAAAAATACCACTGTTGTCGTACAAGAAACGTTTTATATATTGACTTTCTTCTTTTTAAACCAGTGCTAAGACAGGTCTGTACATTTTCTTTTAAAGCATGTTCATTCAGAGCTTGAATGCCTAAAGTGAAGATAGATACAAAATTTGCTTGTACTGTTAACAGTAATAAACCTTTTCCCAAAGTGCACCACTTAGCCAAATAAACCGCTATTCTGATTTGCATCTACAGGAAGGACAAGCTCACCGCTACTTTGGGGCGACTTCATTCCCAGATCTGAGTTTCAACTTCAAAGGAAATTGATTGCAGCAGTTTTTGCTATTTTACTGGCAGTTAATCGGTTAACTGGTTCCCAAACACAATGTTTGCATTTGGAAACCAATTATCCAGTTTGACATCAAAATGTTTGAGAATTATGAAAAGAAAATCCCACTAACAGAAACCAACAAAATATGCTGACTTCTAACAACTTATCTTTTGATTCCCCAAGATATGTTCACACACGATCTGTAGCAAGCAGGTGTTCATTTTAGTGCAAACAGCAATACCTCCCTGCTTTGCTAATATACCGATGGAAGGGAGTCCATGGCAATCCTGTTTATCTCTGTATCCCACATGCCTCCAGTGGCTCTGACCTCCCTTAATGCACACATGCAGACACCACTGCTGACACACCACCTTCTTTTTCCAGCCACATCGATTACTGTCAGCCAATACCTGCACTTCCTTTACTCTGCATCATCAGGTTTCAGGAAGTGCTGATAAATGAATGGCACTTTCTGTTAAGACAGTCGGTCATGGTTAAATGACTCCAAAATCAAGACATCGTCCGACTTTTGTTACGTCTGTACGGAAATGAGTGAATCTTTGAAAACAAACACTGAATATATTGAACCAAGAGAGGAGCTAAGGAACAAAGTGGCACCATGTTCCTGTGCAACTTCTCTGAAGCCAAAACAATCCACTGAGCTCAATATCAGACTTATTATGTCATATAAATAAAAGGAAGTAGTTTCTTAAGAAAGAATGTCAAGCTGTCTGGGATTAGCATATTTAGCTACAAATGTCAGCATGCAAGCCAAAGCAAGCTGAGTACATTTACATAATCCAAATTACATGTAGGGAGGGCAGGGATTTTGGGACCAGAGTGTAAAACCCAAAGTTAAAGTTAAAGATGTAGATTTTCTAAATTACAGAAAACACTTTCTTTCTGTGCTTGCAACCTAAATGGAGATTATTATATGTAAACTTTCATTACCTGTCTAAACTTCTTTAAATACATGTATCCCTATTTTGGAATATAAAACAGATGAGCTGGTGAGCAAAACTTTAATTTCCTTTTATTTTAATATGGATCTAAAAAAAATCTACAGTAGGCCTTGAAATCTGTGTGATTTTACATGAAGACAGAAACAGATTAAAGGCTAAATGGAGGCTGGAGCTGTCCGTCAAGATGGTCTTTTGATCTTGATGGTCTTTTATTATTTATTGTTTTATTTTTAAATATTTCATATATTGTCTTTTATTCAGTAATCTATTTCTTTGTTTTGTTGTTTTGTGTGATTATTATTGCAGGTTATGTGTTTAGGAAATTGAAAAAAAAAAAAGAAAAAAAAAAACAGTTTTAAGAACCACCTTTTGATCCAAAATAAAAAGCTTCCTACCTGTCCCCTACATGTGGGGGAGCTGGCGAAGGGCTAAGCGGTGACGCAGCTCCAGAACCTCTCGGTTTGTTAACTTTGGCATACAGCCTATCAAGGGGGTCATCGTCTGGGAGAACTCCAGCTTCGTTAGCATGCTTCCCATGTGCTGGGAAGCTGGGGGGGCCCTGTGGTGAAGGTGTGCGTGCGTGAGCGTGCTGAACTGCACTGTAGACGGGCGACTGAGGCAGCGGCGGCGGCGGCCCTGAACCCATCTCTCTGTCCCTGAAGGACTGTATTCTGGCATAGTTTGGGTCTGCATCATCATCCTCGAAATGTGGATATCCTGTGCCTCCGCCACCCGGCTGCTCTCTAGACAATTGTTCACGCAGCTCAGGATGCCCTGCTTCAATCCTTAAAGAGAAACAAAGGACCAATAAACAAAAAACAATAACTCCTTGTTATTAAGCTGCAGGGGGAAAAAATGCAAACTATAGTCATGATAGAAATGTTAACCAGATAAAAAAAAAAAAAAACTTTTAATTTGCATTTTGCACTGTTGGATCTTAAAAAAAAGTTTCTACATAGACCTTAAAAATAACAAAAAAAAACAGGAGACCAAAAGCTTTGAGTAAGCAATTTAGAAATTGAAAGTTATTTTAGCATTTCAAAAGATCCTCAGGGTCATGGAATAAAATATTTAAGCCTTAGACCAAGAAAGATCTCACCTGCGGTGAGCCAAATAATCCGAAAGGCTGTCCATCGAGAAACGGGACGATCTTCGTCCAAAATTAAGGCTGACTGCACCCCAATAACCATAAGAAAAGCTTAAAAAACAAGAATCATTTTCAAAGCGCCAAAAAGTTGTTCCTTTGCATCGTGCAACCAAGCACCAACATGGGATCATCAAAGCTGGCGAAAAATAAAAGTAACCTTGATGGTCCTGATGGCTTCCATTGTTAATGGCATGACAGAGAGATGCCACCTTAGTTGTTAGCTGTTTAACACGGTGTAGTGGTGGAGGTGCCATCATGATCTGGGGTTCTTAATATTTCTGAACATTTGCTCAGAAATGAACAAATGTTCTGAACATTTAAGCATTGTGAGGAGGCATCAAACAGCAGCTAGTTATGTGCAGAAGTTGCAGCAGATGTCTGCTGTGTGGTTAAGATTCAAATCTGCCGTCGGACCAAGGCTTTTTTCCACGTCAACATGATTAATTTAGACCATCATGCACGTTACCCTCATCTGTATCCAACTGAGAACATTACTTTTCATTTTTTGGTTGTTATTTTTTTAAAAGGGGGGTGTTGCAGTGAATCAAGTTTACTAAAATGAGCATCAGTCTCAGACTGCAGATGTCCTTCATGAAGCACTTAGAGCAATATTCCAAAATTAAAACCTTTTTAAGATCCAAAGTTGCAAAATGCTAATTTATGCAATTTTTGATCTGGACTTAAGACTTTGATCCAGTGTCTACAGAAAACATAAGCCCCCGTCACACCTTGATGATCTAGACCAGCAAAAATGCTGGCATAAGTTATGAGCACAATGAAGTACGCCGATGCATGCTGAATCACTCTGAAACACGCTGGTAAACGTCGACATACAGCAAGTACGTTGAGAAACTTTGAGGTTTTCTCGACATACATGTATGCCAGCATATGCTCATACATGGGCCATAAGTTACAGGTAAGTTATTTGATTGTTGACCCACATTAAGTGAAAGTTACTCATATGTCTAGCTTATCCAAAACCTATGAGTAACTTATGCATAACCTATCAAGACACTCAGGACACTGGCTTGTGGCATTTCATGGAAATTACGCTGCCGTGCGTTATGCATAAGTTGTTGGACTCGTTATAAATACTCTATGTATACGCCCAAAATAAAAAAAATAAATAGAAAGTCCAGCATATGCCAGCGTTTTAGAAGATTCTGGGAAATCAGGCTGGTTAAATCGACAAGTTGTTACAAGGGCTTAACAAACAAGAGCTATGACAGAAGAATATTTCTATTTAAAATCTGCAGAAGTAAAGCAAGTAGACTGTTAGCAAAGCGTTATGCAACAAGCTTGCAAATCTTTTTTCCAGAGAAAGCTTCTGACCTCTCTCTCTCTTCTTTCAACCTCTCCAGCTCCAGGTCGCTCAGAATGTCTGATTTCTGTCGCTGCAAAGCCGCCTTTGCCTCCTTCTTCTCCTCCTTTTTCTTTCCAAACCTGGACATAAACAAACACAGATAAAAGTATGAAGAAAAAAACATATAAAACAATAAAATAGAAACTTTTTTTAAAGGTTTACGAGCCATATGATATTTTAAAAGTAGACAAAACAATAAATAACATCAGCAGGAAGTTTTCACCTTTCTGACCCTTAAAACTTTGCAGACCTTATAATCCTGATAAACTTGTATCTTGGAGAGGAAATGTGTTCCGATCTCTAAAGATTTCTCCATTTTCTAATTTAGAAGTTCTCATGTAAAACATGTGTTAATACTCTCCCTAAATGCAGCTGAAAATAGCAGAAGCATATTAAACTTTGCAGCGCAGCTACACAGCGGGTGTACAGTGGTGAATTGAGCCAGTCAAACCTGCTAAATAGTTAATATGTCCAACACGCCAACTGTGACCTTATAACACAGCTAATGTTTTATTTATCAAGTGAATTTATTGATGAATTATCCCTCTGTCTACATTTCCGCTATGTAATACTGTGGACATTTTTGAAGTATCACTGCTCCAGCTTATGTTTTATTTAAAAGCAAATCCGGTGCTACATTACACCGAGGCTGGCTTGTTGTTTTCGGTTTAATAAAAACAAAAGTGCACTTTGAAGACTGGGGTAATAGGTTTCTTTGAAATGCCTAATGTGGACTGGGGGGTAAAGCCTATTTACCACCCATGGAGGAGTGGCTCAATGGGCAATGAAGGGCTCCAATCATCTGTGTGTATTAACAGCATGTGTGTGTATTTGCCACACAGGGGACAGGCCTTACTTTAATTACAGCTACCTACAGAGGCTTACCCTTTCTTTCAAATCTCTCCTCCCTGCACTTATCCCTCCTTTCACCGTCATTCCTTGTTCACATTTTCCCCTTCTTTATAGAACTGTTTCTCTTCTCTGACTTTGGATTCTTTCCGTCTCTAGATTAACTCACTTTCACCACACCTTCCCATTTTTATCAAGTTTTCCTCTCTCACGCTTTACCCTGACCTTCTCTTGGGCTGATACCTATCCTTACTGTAAATCCTTTCCTGCCTACTCTGCAAAAGTTTAAAAACAATAATGCAATATTCCTACTGCAGCAGCTACACACATCACTATTGTTTGGGATTGATAGCACTGAGCCTGCTGCTGTAGCAGCATAAAATAAAACATCACTGTTTTTATTTTTTAAAGAGACTTGAAAATCCCACCAGTTTGGTCACATTATAAGCAAGCTGACTGCCCCACAAACCTTTAAAGAACTGGTGCCTCTTTGGAGTGCAGTGAACTCCAGCAAAATACCAAAATACTTAGCCACCAGTGCACCAAGTACAGTGGTTATGTTTTCTCAGTACTACTATTTTACTCAAAGTAGTTGGTCCCTCTACAGTAAACTTGATACATAATATCACTCTTTCAATCCAAAATTGAGCAAAAAAGCTACATTTTCAGGAAAATCCTTTGTATTATATAAGACTCCCTTAGCCATTTTACCTGTGTACGCATCCAAGAAGTGGTATGTTTACATAAAATCTTAAAGCGGGAAATAACATGATAGGGTCTGGGCCATGTACATGATGAACAACTTTCTAGAGGGACAGACACTTCTCAGGGCCTTCAGATTAGCTGAAGGACACTGCATAGATAATTTGATTGATGTCCAAATAGCTCTAACCAAGCTTTACATCACAAACAACAACAATAAACATCTGATGCAGGGTGTTTGCTGCCCCTGAGCTAAGGACCAGTGGAGACGCAATGTCTAATGTTTTCATTTGACTGGAAGAGTCTGGATTTGGCAGTTGTTATGTGATCAGTACCATACCTTAAGGCATTGTGTCATATGTATAGTGTGATGGTGTTAAGGTTTGGGGTAATCTTCCGAGAGTCGGACTTTGCCTCTTTGCTCCAGTGAAAGGAACTCTTGTTTGCCTTTCCAGTCATAAGGACAAAGGGAAGGTTAACATCCAATTAAGCCCTGGGGATTCACCAACAAATTAATCAATTCAGGATAAATGCTGTTCTATTAACCCACAGTTGGCTGCAGCAGATGGTACTCTTACTAAGCCTGGTTCTGCAGTTAGTTTCTTTCTTTCCACTGTTTGCTTAGTTTAAATAATTGCAGCAGAAACAACAACCCACTGCTGGGCCTCTTTGGAGGACTACTTAACAACATGTATTATACATTTAAATAAACTTTATTCAATTATATAATAATTTCGATCTAAATCTGATTATATGACTGGATCATATAGTAATGTATTGGATTGATTTGATTATGGGCTAAAGTAGATTCCATTTGAGCAGGGGAGGGTTTAGTATCCTATATTTTGGCTGGTTTAGCCTCAGATAAAATGCATTTAAGGTTTCCCTACTCCAGCAAAGGTGGCTTTTATTGACAGCTGATTAACAGGCTTTTTCTGGACTGCAATCATCAGAATAAGCTGTGCTAAAGTAGAGAAACCTCTAAAACCTGCAGTACAGCGGTCCTCAAGAACCAATTTTGGGCATGCCTGCCTTAGTGCATGTGCAACGCACATGTAAAAAGAAAAATTCTGCCGTCTGAAAACCATGCTGAGCTTGGTTCTTAAGACCATTCTTAAGACCATTTAAACATTACACTAACACGCTTCCTCACCTCCCACTGCAGCTTCTCACTACATAATCTGTCCCGGACATACAATCAGTCCAGCACATGCGCGAATAGATATACATCCAGGTGTCCGTAAATAAAATGTAACCATGGTACTAAAATGACGTATTTCTATCTTTACCTCACTAAAGAATTCTAATAAATGCAGGTCTTTTTAACAAAATAAAATCGAGGGTGACCCGGATGTATATCTGGATGCACATGTGCAAATGAGCTGATGGGGCATTCAGCAGGATGGATCGCGCTTCCAGGACTTATCAGGTAGTGACACTTCTCTCAAGGCAGGAATTGCACAAACAAAAATGGTGGCGGCCAAAACATTCAGGTACTTATCTGCCTGGATAGTGTCCTACACCCAAATTTCAATGAGAGCCTCGGTCTCAGCATCATCCCAGGTCGCACCACGTTCTTTTGATGCCATTTATTGTTAATAGCCTGAGAAGAAGTTCCTGTTGTGAACAGGTGAAGATCTGGCAATTGCAAAGCCGGACATGGCGGAAAAAACCTGCAGAATGAGTCAGCTGACTGTAAATAGGAGATGAAACGGTCTGGTCATGCGCTCTTTGTTATCAGAGAACCGAGCCACATCTGTACCATGCCGAACCCTACTGTTGAACTAGTACTAGATTCAGAGCGGTTCGGTTGCGTCTGGCACACTCCAGTTCAGTTGCATTCCATTTACACTCAACAGTTTCTTGGTTACTGTGTTCGGACCATTCTTGACACTGTTTTAAAAGGGTAGTGTATATGGGGAATTACACTTCCTCTCTCCATCCATCCATCCATCCATCCATCCATCCCAGTCCTGTTTCTTACTATGGTACCTGATGCCACCAGCAGCGCGGCTTTCAGGTCAACGACAGGGGGTTTCCCATTGTGAACAGGGTCCTACTGCCCCAGGATTTACATGACCAATACACTATTTTATTGAGAGGGGGTAAGAAATGATTAGACAATGTTGGAGTTAAATGGTGTTGGGGGGGATGGGCATGCATAGATGTAAAATGGTTGGAGTTGATGGGTAAAGGGAATCTGTGTCACAAAAATGTAATGAATTAAACTGAGTGGAACTGAAAGCCACAAATTATGGTAACTCAGTAGTATGGCTGATGACAGAAAATGGGAAATACTAAAACCTGTTCAACTATCACATAAGCTACAGACTCTTTGCTGCAGTAATATCTAACCTGGTCTAATAAATGGTCAGTTTCTGCTGAGGGCGGCAGATGCTACAGCCAGAATTTGCCACTAAAAGAATTAATCCACAAGCCTTTCCTATCTAATGTCAACAATTTGGGATAGTGGTGGAGGTGGTTAGCTGATGTACAGAGTGCTTTCTTGGCATGTATGGATCAATCATCATTCAAATACTGCATCTAATCTGATTATGGTTGCTGACCATGACTATCTTCTTGTGATAACCATTCACTGAATTTTTGTGAATAAATGCACATAAAGTGTTAGAGCAGCATTTTTGTGTGGCTGATTTTTTCAGTACGTAAAGATTTTCATTGTCCTGGAAGAAAAAAAAAACTTTCCTGAGTCTTTCTTACCTTCTGCACTTTCTATAATCTGTAGTATTCACTACAGAAAGGTATAATTCTCATCATCTATGCCTATCTGAATCATTTCAAGCTGTTAAAGCGGCCTGACAGCTGCTCCATTTAAACATTCTTTCATTTCAAATGTCTTTTGTCCAACAACAACCATTAGTTAAATCACATAGCAATAGCTAGACTCAACCACTGCACACTTGTATATAAAAAGAGTGACAGAATAATTCACCTGTGGATGTTTTTCTTTCTTTTTTTTGTGCCTCTTAGTGTAAAGGGCAGATTCAAAGTAAGGACAGAAAGGAGGGGAAGTGGTGATACAGAAGTGAAAAGCTGTTGGAAATGACTAATAGACAGTTCTAATGCAAAAAGGTGGTCCAGAACAAATTTACACATGAGAACATCATTTCACAAGAAATATCAGGGTAAGATTAACAGATGATTAGCAGCCAGTTAGAAGGAATTTATTACCTCTTGTCCTGTCATTAGTGGGAACACAGTGGTGACTAATGAATACTAATAAGATAAAACCATAATCTGGGTGGAAGGCTTTGTTATTAAGGGAGAAACACATAACAGAGCTTTTTAAAGCTTTAAGCTGCATTCAAATGAAAGATGACTAAGAAACAACATCCACTAGTTAATTATGCTTCCTAAATATTAATAAAACTAAGGGAGAAAAGAATAAAGCGGAGACACTTCTATCTACACTAACAGACATGTCCTAAAGGCTTAAATATGACACCGATATGCACTTTTTGGTAAAGTGTATCGGGATGAAAGAAAGTCTTAATATTCAATGATGTA